AGTGGGCAGATCTGCTGCAGAAGACCTCTCTAAAGTGTGGAAGAGCAAAGGTGTCACTTTGAGGACAAAGTGATATTTTCACTCGCCCCATATGCACGTGAAAGCTGGACAGTGAATAAGGAAGATCAAAGAAGGGTTGATGGCCTTGGATTGTGGTGTTGGTGAAGAGTACTGCATGTCCCATGGCCTGCCAGAAAAATGAACAAGTCGGTCTTGGGAGAAGTGCAGCCAGAGTGTTCCTTAGAAGCAAGAATCTTGAGACTGTCAGGAGGGCCCAGTCCCTGGAGGACATCATGGTTGGTAAGGTAGGGGGTGAGCAAGAAGGAGGAGGGCCCCCCATGAAATGGATTGACACGGTGGCTGTGACAGTGAGCTCGAGCGTGGCGGCAGCAGCGAGGGCACAGCCTGGGCCCCGTTGCCTCCTGCTGTGCATGGGCTCGCTGCGGGTTGGAACCAACTCGATGGCACCTGGTAACAACAACGAAAAACTTCTTTTGGAGGAGCCTGGTGGTGCAGTGGTTAAGCGCTCAGCAGCGAAGCAGAAGGCTGGTGGTTTCATCGCACCCAGTGGCTCTGAGAAGGGGAGACCTGGAGGTCTGCTCCCGTAAAGGCTCGCAGCCTGGGACACGCTGGAGGGCAGTGGTGCCGTGAGTCAGCCAGCTGGACAGCACACAGCGATGAGAAGTGCCTGTCGGCAGTGCCTGTAGCTTTCCATGTACAAGTCTGTCGCTTTCCTGGTTCACTTTATTCATCGATTTTTATTCTTTTACATGCTCTTATAAACGGCATTGTTTCCTGAATTTCCTTTTCTGCTTGCTCATTATGATGCGTAGAAAGCCGTCTGACTTTGCGTGTTGACTTTGTACGTGGTCCTCTAATCTGCTTGTGGATTTCTTGGCATCTGCTGTGTATGTGTGATGATGTCAGTGGGGAGGGGTAATTTCGCATGCGCCTTCCTTTTTTGGATCCTTTTCTTGTTATTTGCTCCTGGTCTGACTGCTCAGCGGGGACTTCTGAACGGTGCCGATGGCACTGGTGTGAGTGAGCACCCTGTGTGCGTGATCTTCTGGGAAAGCAGGACGTCTGCCAGGTGTTTCAGGAGTGCCTTTTATTACTGCAGAATTCCTTTTCTGCTCCATCTTGTGGAGTGTTTTTCTCCTGACAGGGTGCTGGCTTGTGGTCGTGTGGTCAGGCGGTGGGTGACAGTGACGCCCCACCCTGCCGACGTGCTCTTGGGTTTATGTTGCTGGTGTTCTCTTGAGGTGTCCGCATCTCGCCCGTGAGGGGCACCGCGCTGGAGTTGGCTGGAGTTCGGGTCTGGCCCTGGTGTCAGGGTGGTGCCGGCCTCGGAGGCGGGGGAGTGCTCCTCCATTCTCCCGCTTTCTGCTCTGACCTTGTGACATCCCCTCCCTTCTGGTGGCCGTGGCTCAGGTGCTCCTTCTCGGCTTCTCAAGTTGTGAAGTGAGGTTGCTGATCTGAGGTCTCCCTTTTATAACCCTGGCTTCTGCAGGGAGAAACTTCCCCGCGTGCCCAGTTCTGTAGGGCTTTGTATTCGGGTCACTGAACCCTTATTAGATATGTGCTTCCCACGTGGGTTTCCTGTTATGTGGGATATCTTAACAATGTCTCTGGATGCCCGAAAGTTTCTAATTTACTCTTTTTTTTCTGTTTGTGCTCATGTTTTTGATGTCATGTCTAAGAAGAATCCTTGTCAAAAACAAGGTCCTGACATCTTACTTCCACATCTTCTAACCCTTATAGTTGTAGTTCTTTTTTGCCAGTTGCCTGGGAGAGGAGGTCCTCCCTGTGGTGTAAACCCTGAGTCGCCTCGGGGGGCTTTCCCAGGGCCCTGCCTGACGGGAAAGTGGTAGCAGGGCTCCGGGGGTCGGAGCTTTCGGTGAGCTGCAGGCTTGGTCTGTTTGTTCTGGTGGCAGCTGTTTCAGGAAGACCACGGAGCTGGGGGAGGGGCACAGGACTAGGGCTTGTCCACACACTGGCCTGGGGGAGGGGCACGGGACTAGGGCTGGTCCACACACCAGCCGTTCTGAGGCAGCCCTTCTCTGCATGTCGTCGTCACAGGACCCGATAGCCTCAGAGGAGTGAAGGTGGGAGGACTTTCCCCACTGTCCTCTTGCTTCTCTACCGCTGGGGTCCTGCCTCCTTGCTCCTTCCTCAGAGCATCTCGTCTGTCCTTGAATCATCCTTCTCTGCCCAGGCTGCTCTGACTTCATGCCTCCTTTTGCCACTTTAGTGGGTTCTGACTGAAGGTTGATGGCTCTGACTCTGCCTGCCATTTCAACCTGACGTCGAGTCATATTTTTCAAACTATGTCCATTGGTATCCTGGCTTTGTGAGAAAAGGGAGAGATGCCGCCTATCTTTATTACAAACAAATGAACAACCCAATGCTTTTTAAAATGGTGAAAAACGACAAAATGGTGCCCCCTGAATTCCCGGCACGTGCACCCAGGCAGACAGTGGGACCAGAAATAGCCCAGCTGCCCGTCTGTGCCGTCCCCACTGCTCACCAGGTCACCGCTGTCTGGCGCTGTAGCTTGGCTTTCCCTAATGTTGAACTCCATGGAAGTGGAATCGTGTGTTGTAATTGCCTGGTGTGTAGCAGGGTTGTGTTAATCATTTATCAACAGTTCTCTACTGGGCCTGGTTCTGTCCTTCAGGGGACATCTCTTAACATCTGGAGACATGTTTGGTTGTTGCTACTTAGGGGACGGTGCCCGGCATTGAGTAGATAGGGGCCAGAAATGCTGGTCGACCCCCTGTAGTGCCCTCGGCCCGTGACCCTTTGGGGTGCTTGGCAGAGGTGTCCTGTGAGGCACTGTCAACTCCAGGGACCATGGGGCATTTTCCTCTCCTTTGAGTGCTACTCATCACATAGCCGCGAGGACTTTGAGCCGCGAGCGTGTTTCTGCTGGTTCTATGCCCAGCGTTGGGGCTGTGGGGCCACAATGCCCGGCCTTCTTCAACTCCTTCCAAACGGGGATGAGCTGTGTGGTACACCAGCCCCGACGCAGAGGGAAGCTGCTCACCTTGAGGGGTCTTGGCTCCCCTGCTCTGGGTCAGGGCTCATATGGGTTGATTGAGTTATTAAGAAAAAGCAGTTGCAGGGCTTAAAAAGGGTTACCATAATCAAATTTCTGTGGTTTAGGGAAAAAAATACAAGTAGCACATGTCCAGAAAAACCTCCTGGGCCCAGCTTGCCACAGTCAAGGTTGGCCCTTGGGGGAACACGGAGCAAGCACACAGGCTTCGTGTGCAGAGAGGAGACAGGCAGGAGTCAGGAGGGGGCCTTGCCTTGGCACCCACCCGGCCGCGAGGCCCCCGGGTCATCTGTATCCTGACCACGGCCCACAGGCCTCCCTCCCTGTCCTCGGCCCCCTCCCAGGCCGGGGTCCGCACAGAGCAGGCCAGATGCTCTTCAGTGCGCCGGCTCGTGGCTGTCCGCGGTCCTGGGCACTCTTCGGGCTTGTGGGAAGGACTGGGGAGCCTGTACTGCAGAAGGGATGTGGCAGTGTGGGCATCTTGCTGGGGGAGGCCCTGGAGCCCCCTTAGCCGGGGCAGCATTCTGTAGGGCGAGGCCTTGAGTTCAGGCCCCACCCTGCTGTGCACCTCTCCTCAGAGAGGGGACTGGGTAGGTATCACCAGTAAGGGGTGAGGGGGTGGGGGAGTGAGCTGCTCCTGCTAGCGGGGTGTCAGATCAGGTCCTGGCCGGCGGAAGCCGCCAGACGCAGGCTTTCGTGGCCCAGGCCACCTGAGCCCACGCTGGGCTCTGGGATGAAGACCCTGTCAGAGGGGGCCTGATAGTGCTGAGAGAGAGGCCTGAGGTAAGCTGTGTGGTGCCAAGCAGGTGCCCTTTGGTTGGTCTCGTCTCGTTCCTCCAGAGCTGACGGCTCACCCCTGGACAGCACGTTGTCTAGGCCTGGGCCTGGTGCTCCCGCAGGCACACTGCCCTCCCCGTCCCGGGGGTCTGGGTGCCTCAGCTCCTTCGGAGAGAAGGCAGATGCCTCCTGTCCACCCCAGTCCCAAATACCACCCACCTTAACTTGGGGCCCAGAAGGTGGGGAAGACACAGAATCTGGAAAGACGGTCTGAAGCACTCAGGTGGGCACGGCTTGTGCTTGAAGACGAGACCACGTGCCACACTGTGGCCCCATCGTTCTGGGGGGTGGGGGAGAGAGTTCCTGCTGTGGGGACAGCACGTGTACCGAGAGCATTTTAATTAATTTATTTATTTCTTTACACATAACTGAAAGTGATGTTACAGTACATAAGTTATTTACAACTGTGCAGTAATGTGTTGCAAAATAAATTATCTAGAAGGCAGCAAAAGTACATTGTGAATGTGTATAAAACTGTACAGCGCTTAACGGGATACACTTTTTATATGATTATTGGCTCTGTAGTGTTTCAAGTTATGTTCTCAGAAAGAGAAACAAAATGCCCAAGATTAAAGGGAAAAATATACAAACCACGTGGATTTGACTCCATAAAAACACAATCGGCAGAGTCCTGGCTCTGTGTCCCCCCTGCCCCCAGGTGCCGGGCGGGTGGGTGGTCGGGCCCTCGCTCAGCCGCGCAGTCCTCACCCTGCTTGCGCCCGCCCGCCCGCGGCAGCCTTGGGTCTCATCCACCTCCTACAACCTCATGATCTTTGTCTGTGGGAGGTGACACCTCGGTTTCTCCTGTAGTTGACCAGAATGGAACAAGGATCTAAAATGCATTCTTTCTGGGACTGCGACTGTGACTCTAGCTGGCTGGAAACAAGGATCCAAGTGCTGTCCCCCCCCAGGGGGGAGTCACATGTCTGCGTCCTGGCTGTCTCTGGGCCTGTCCCTGGCGTCCGCTTCATCGGCGGCCGGGCGGCGTGAACAAAGCGCAGTCTTCCCTCGGCTCCTCCGCCCGACGCGATGCGCCTCCTGGCCGCACGGCCATCAGCACCGTGGGCGCCCCGGAGGCCCGTGTCCTCGCCGTCCCATAGCTGCATCACGCTGGCAGCAGCACAAAGTCGTCGTTGACATCAACCATGGGCACGTAGAAGGAGGGCACCTCGTTCACGCACAGGGACTTGTGCCCTGCGGGGTCCAGCTCCTGTACCTTAAGCTGCCACTCCATCCTCTGCACGGCGTTCAGTGCTGCTGCTTCATGCTGCTGCCGCATCAGGAGGCATGTCTGTGGACAGACAGACAAGCAGGTGAGAAGCAGAGCCATGGCTCAGTGCTGGGGGAGGGCTGACCTGGACCCCTCCCACTCGGGCAGACAGTCAGCCAAAGACTGCTTTCCACGGGAGTCGCAGCTGAGCTCTCCCTCTAGAGGCCAGGTCTCCTGCCCCAGTGAACTGACGGGGTCTATGTGGGGAGTCCCTGTTGCGCCTCCTGCCCGGTGGGCTCTGTCACTGGCTGCTGGCGCTCTTGGAACTTGGGAAGTTTGGCTGTCACTCTCCCTCATCTTATGATCATTTACGGCAGTGACGCTGGCTTTGTTTGCATTTATAGTAGGGACTGTGCCTTTTAAAAACACATTTCATTTTTTAAAAGGCATCTAGGTAATATTTAAGTATTTAATATACAACAAGTAGAAAGTGAGTCCCTGGGAACTGGAAACTGAAAGGGAGCCATCACAGGCGGCCAGGTGCCTTGTCGGGCTCTAGGACTCACCCCCGTATACCACAGTGGGATGCTGTTTGAGGGCAAACATCAAAGCCTTAAATCGATGTCAGGGTTAAATCAAAACGCCAACAGAGAAACCTGAACAGAAGGGTCAGCAAGACACAGGACTGAAGACAAGGCACTGGCACTGTCCACCAAGATGGCTGAAAGGTGCTGCCATGCCCACCAAGCCTCCCAGGCGAGGAGGGTGTCGGGGAGCCTCAGATGGGAGGGACCAGGAGCCAGACTGACAGGAACCTCCCCGGCCAGACCTGGGACAACGTGGGCCAGTTAAGACAGAAGGGAGAGCCCGCCGTGAGCCTCAGTGCAGATGGCAGGAACACGCTCTGGTCACTCCTCTGGCGGCCATGCCATCTACTCTGTCCTGGGAATTGGGACTGAAGGGGAAGTGTGAAAGGAGCCAGGGAGCCCACTGCCAGAGGGCAGTGGCTGCTGCTGGTGGGAGCTCTCCCACTGCTGGCACCTGGCGTGCCACACACAGACAGCAGTGTGGACTCAGGAGGGAGCCTTGGCACAGCCGCACACTGCCAGAGCAGTGAGGACCGGCTCCTTGCTGGACCCTGTGGGGTGGCAGGCAGGTCTGTCTCCAGGGACAATGGTCACCTGGGAGGGTGTTTGTTTGGCCCAACATCATCTTGAACTGCGTGCAGCTTTTGGAGCATCACAGTTGTGCCGTGTCGGGGCTGGCTGGCAGTGGCTCGGTGCTACGGCCTCTCGTTCAGCCAAGGATGGGCAGCTTCCCATTTTTAAATGGTTGAAAACCAATGGAAGACGATGTTTCGTGACGTGAGATTTGATTTTCTGCACCCCGGGAGAAAGTCCTGTGTGCGCTTCACGCCCATCACTGTTGACTGTGGTGACTTGCACTTCAGTAGCAGGGTTGACACAGCTGGGCAGGTGGTGTGTGGCCTGCAGAAACAAAATGTTTGGTCTCTGGCCCTTTTCAGAAAAGGTTTGCTGAGCGCCGTTCTTGGTACGTGAGCAGATCTGAGTCTGGGCTGGAGCCTGAGAGATGCCAGTAGGCCACACAAGGCGTGTTGGGGAGTCTGGAAAGGTTAAAAGGCTGAAGGGTTGGCGGGAAGTCATGGTGTCTAATTTACTTTCAACTGTTGTTGCCTTCAGGTTAATATGGTGACCCCACACATACAGAGCAGAACTGCTCCATGGGGTTTCCCAGGCTGTGGTCTTTCGGAAGGAGATTGCCAGGTCTGTCCGTCTGTGCCTCTGGGTGGGTTTGAACCGCCAACCTTTCGGGTGGTAGTCGAGCGCTTAGCGGTGCCACATCGGGACTCTTTTGCTTCTACACAGAAAAGCCCCCATGGTTGGCTGGTGGCAGGTGACAGTGGTGTCTTCTGCACAGGTACTCTCACAGCTGCGCCAGACGGACTCAGGTCCCCCAGGTGGCACTCTTGGGCACCATGCTGCCCACTGGTCTGATCATCATTCAGGGCTCCACCTTGTGGCTGGGTTATTGGTCTCTAGCTGCTTTTTCCATGTTTCTGGAAGTGAAATGCCTATGTCGGGTAGAAACATCTAGAGTTTGGTAGCTCTTGTCAGTTGGCCCTTTTCTGCCCTCACCAGCATACAAGCCTTTCATAGCATCCGGCTATGGTTTTGGAATCACCGGCCAGTGGTGGGGTGGGAGGGGACAGATGTCTGCCTCATAGCCCAGCACTCAGTAGTCGTCCTTGTGAACTGCCTCTATACAGACGTGGCAGACTTTCTCCCACGTTAGTTTGCACACTACAGACATGAAACTCGTGGCGTGTTTAATGGGGAGAAGTCTGGTCTCAGGGTGCTGCAATAGCATTTCTCTTCTCCTCTCTAGGAAAGTCGTCTTCGTGTATTTACAAAGCCCTCCATCAGTTGGAGACTTGCCACTTCGGGGCGGCCCAGACTCTGGTCACGTCTACGTTTAAGCTTATTGCTATGCTCTGTTGTGTGGTTACTGAGTGAAGAGCCGCAGGCACAGGTGGGAGATGCCGGCTAGCTAAGAGCAGGGTTCCCACAACTGGGAACTAAGGGGGCTGGGCCTAGAGCTCCTTCTGCCTCTCCACCAATCTGAGAATCAATGCAGGTGGGAAGGCCCTGCTCTCAGCAGGCCACTGCTACTCCTCCTGCAGGGCCATTTTGTAACCCATCACTTCTCTTGGGTATCCCAGCCCTCTGTGCTGGTCCACACTCCCAGGGCAGGTAAGGGCCAGGGACCACACCAAGCAGGCCTCGTTCCTGTGAGCAGAGAAGCCGCCCTGAGGAGGTGAGGGCACTGACCTTCATGCGGTCATACTTGTCATCCACGTCCTGGAGCCAGGAGATGAACTGGCGTGCATTGAACCGGTCTCGCACCGACTTGTTCTCGTCCCCCTGCCGCAGAAATCAAACACAGAGGGCCGGTAAGGAAGGGTGAGAGTGACTGATGACTAGGGCCCAGTGTCTTCCGTCTCGAGTGACAACCAAAGCTGCGGTGTCCACCTGTGGTCGTTTCAGGGATGGAGAGGCATGTGACCACAGGTGGATGAGTGACAGGGTAGCACACACTCCATCCCAGAGCACAAAGTGTCCTCCCACCTCCTTCCATAGGGGCCTGGCATTTCGGCGACCTGCCCTCATGGGCAGCAGCGTGCAAGAGGCACTTTAGGCCAGATGGGTACTGGCACGGAGAACCCCCTGCAGGAGATGGAAGCAAGGGGTCCTGGGAGGCAGCAGGGCTTGGGCAGTGCTAGTGACTACATCTGGAAAGGCCATGGGTGGCTCTGAGTGTGCCACCAGTGAGGCCTGGTGGACAGACACAGAACCTGGGGCAGTCTGCCTCGGTGGCTGTCTTGGGTACTACCCACCCACATGGGATGCTCGATTCCTGGGGCGGCCACACTCTTCCACCTTTGTTTTATACGGAAACTGACATTTCGCCCCTGCTGGACAGTGAGTGAAAGAAGCCCTGGGGGGCACAGCGGGGAAGGCATTGAGCTGCTAACCAGAGGGTTGGCAGTTCAAACCGACCCGCTGTTCCACGGGTGGAAGATGAGACATTCCACTTCCATAAAGATTTAAAGACAGCCCTTGGAACCCTACGGGGGGGTCACTATGCGTCACAATGGGCTGGATGGCAGGGGGTGAGCAGGGCACATGTGTTTCCCTGCATAGACTAAACCCAGGGTGCCCTTTCTGGCCTTCTTCTGGTCAGCTGGCCAGGGCAAAGGGACCACGGTGGGGCTAGGGGCCCGGGAGGGGTGGGGAGCAGCCCACCTGGCTCTCTAGGGGCATGTTGTAGACCTCCGAGTCCAGAAGCATGGTGCAGGCGCTGAAGGGCACTGCCTGGTTTGCGATGGTCCGTGCTGCCCGGCAGTGAACCCGAAGGATCTCCTGCTCGCAGGAGACGATCAGTTTCTCCTAGAGGGAGAGGGGGGTGAGCCCAGGGCACCGCACGGGCCGTGCCGCGCCGAGGGCCCTCTGCTTACCCGCTCGATGCTGTGCTGCAGGCGGAGCTTGCCGCGCACGGCCTCTTGCTGTTTGAACAGCTCCTTGAGCGGCTCTGCCAGGGATGGTGGGGGTGCAATCTGTGGGCAGAGAGGAAGCCGGAGGGCTGTGGGCACGGACACGCAGACAGCGGCCCACATGGAGATCAAGCTGGTGACCACCCCAGAACACTAGGCAGCCTCCTGGCATCTGCACTTGGGTCATGTGGGGACACAGCGAAAGCCCACGGCACATCTCAGTTCTTCTCAAAGCTGGCTGCCCTGACCCCTCAGCTGGGCAGGGGAGAGCCAGTAACGCTAGGTTTGGACCTGACCCAGAGGCGTTAGGCCGACAGACAGGATGGCACCGATGATACTCCCTAAGACCTGGCTGGGCTGCATCCCCACAGGCAATAGAAACCCCCTCTTGGAGAGGGAAGGGTGGGAAGTGAACAACATCCTGGGGCAAGCAGCCCTGTGTGAGCTGACGACCGGGTGAGGAAGGTCCTCCGGGGGGGGGGGGGCGCCTGTGGGTGGTGGGCCTGTGTAGCCGTGGCTGTCACTACACAGAGGAAGCGAGGTCTAGCCTGGCTGTGTGTTCACAACAGGCCCAAGTGGACTGAGGAGAGAGCAGAGGCCAGCTGCCTAGGGGATGGGGTTGGGGGGTTCCAGGGGGATGGCTGGGGGCCAGCTGCGTGAGCGGGGCATGTGCTCACACGGAGCTGGCCGTCCCCACCCACCCGGAGGACACTCACCACGGGGATGTGGAGCTTGCTCAGGGGCTTGCCGTCCAGGAGGTAGGAGCCGGTGTAGGTCACGTACTCGGCGTAGCACTGGGGGGCCTGCGGCGTGATGTAGCACAGGATCTTGCGCTTCTCCTCAATCTTCTTGCGGATCTGCAGGTACTCGAAGTAGGGGTTGGCCCTGTCGCTGTGGTAGGGCTCGATGGCGTCCAGCTTGATGGCGTCCACGATGGCGGCCAGCGTCTGCTGGATCACCTCCCGCGTCTGCTGCGTCGACGTGTTCATCTGCTGGTGCAGCTGCTGGCTGGAGCGCTGGAAGCGGCGCTTGCGCGGGTGCTGGGCCTGCGCGTCCTCGTCCTCAGGCGCACGCCCCTTGGCTCTGGTGGCTGGGGGGGCAGGCGGGAGCTCCTTCTCCGGGGGTGGTGTGCCTTGCTTGCTCTGGTTGGCCAGCATCTGGGCCCGGTTCCTGGTCATGCGCTGGGGGATCTCCTCCACACGAGGTGGCTTTGGGGCCTCGGCCAGCGGCTTAGGGGCTGGGTCTGCGGCCTCAGGTTGGATGCTGCCTGGGGGGGCTTCAGCCTGGGCAGTGGCACGGCTGGCACCATCAGTGAGGCTGGCCTCATCTGAAGGGAGCCCCTGGGCTGCGCTGTCGGCAGTGGGGCTGTCAGGGGCAGAGTAGGGTGCCGTTGGGGGGTCTGCGGCCTCTGCCTCCTCGTCCCCACTCCCTGCGGGGTGGAGCTCGGTGGAAGCTGGTACAGGTTCGGGGCCAGGGGCCAGGTCCTCAGGGGCCTTCTCTTCTGCCACGTCCCCTGCCTGCACGGCAGCATCCAAGGGTATCTCCACCTTAGGCTCGTCCGTGGACACAGGTTCGGAGGAGAGCTGTGTCGATGCCTGGTCGGGGGGCGGCGGCTCCTCAGTGGCTGGTGTGGTGAGGGTGTCCCCGCTTACAACCACAGGGGCCGCTGCAGGCGCTTGCTCTGGGGCAGCAGTGGGGCTCTCATCCACGGGTCCTGTGTCCACATCCGAGACGTCCTTTGCCTGGAGTGGAAGGTCTGGCAGTGAGAACGGCCCCAGGTCCAGGTCGTCCTCAGGGTTTGTGAAGGGGTCTGGCCAGGGCACTGGGTCCTCCTGGCCAAGGGCAGAGAGGCCAGCATTGTTTTCCAGGTAGTTATTTTCTAGGGACCCCAGAGTGTCAGCCTGAGCCACAGCAGCCACACCCGCTGGCTCAGGGGGTGCGTCGGGGGCCCCCTCCACCAGAGCCTTGCAATGAGGGAATAAGGCCTGCAGCCTGGAAGGAGGGGTATATGGGGCTGGCTCCTCTGAAGGGGGCATCACCACTGGGACCCCTTCAACCACGTCCTCCTTGGCCTCGCTGAGCCCTGGCTCAGGGACTGACAAGGGGTATGAGAGTGGAGAGGCTGGATAGGGTGGCTCCGTGGCAAGGAAGGGCACAGGGGCGGCAGGGTGCATGGTCTCTGTGGGACAGAAATGTTTGGGGGACTCTGGGAATCTCTGTGGGGACTTGAGCAGCAAGTCTGCCCCCATGGGGGGCCAGCTGACAGGGTTCTCGGGGACACCCCCAACAAGGGTGGAGGAGAGGGGCTGCTCAGAGGCAGTGGGGTGCTCCCACTCGCCCGGATCCTCCTCAGTGATGACGGTGTTGAATGAACCCTCATCAGTGGGTTCCAGGTAGCTGGGCTCGGGAGGGATAATGGCGGCTGTGGCCTGCTGGTCCTCTGTGACGTCAAGAGGGAGGCCCAGGTCAGGGGGCAGGGCCCCTTCAAGGGAAGGAGCCCCCCGCTCGTCCCTGTGGGAAGGCGAGGACTTGGCTTGTAAACTGGAGAAGACACCCTCCGGGGATGGCGTGGCGTTGACCACAGCCGTGGGAGTGCAGTGCAGAGCCTCCCCTTTGGGCGAGGGGACCCCGTAGTCCGGAGAATAGTACCCTGGAGACAAACAGGGGAACTTTTCAGGGGCAGCAGGAGCCTTGTCCTCCAGCAGGTGCCGTCCTGGTGAGCTGTAGCTGGCCGTGGCGGGCACACTCTGCTGCCGGAAGAGCTTGTCTCCAACACTGAGCTCCTCCTCGGGGGTCCTGCGCGTGTCCACGGACACCGAGCGGTAGAGGCTTGTGCACAGAGTTCGAGTTGGGGTCTGACTGGGGTTCTCGGGAAGGCCACTCAAGGCAGCCGAGAACCTGTCAAAAAAGGAGGGGGAGCAGGCGCTGGCAGGTGTGCTGACGGGCGCGGTGTGCTGGGAGTCGGCGCAGTCGAAGAGGTCTGCGTAGTCGTCGGCGCTGCAGGATGGGGTGCGGGGGGTGTGCATCACCTCCTCGTAGCTAGGGCACGAGACCACCGAGGTGGGGGTGGGCACCCCGGTGGGCCGGCTCTGGTCAGGCCTGGGAGAGGCGGGCAGGACCTCCTTCAGCTGGGGCCCCGCCAGCCAGTCCTTGGGCTCTGCGCCTGCTCCGGGGGGCATTTTACTGTCGGCAGTGGGCAGAGTCGGAGCCAGCGCCATGGGGTCCTTGAGCTTCTTGTCCAGCCCTGGCGGCTTTCTCGTCGGGAGCTCCAGACTCTTCTTGCGCATGTCCTCTGCCGACTTGGCCTTGTCCTTGAGCTTGGGGTCCCCGGAGCGGTGCCTCATCTTCTCCATCTGCTTCATCCTCTCCTTGTGCCGCTTGTGCCGCTCCTCGATCTCCAGATCCTTCTGCGAGAGCATCCTCTCGAAGCTGGTCATCATCAGGTCGCCGTCCACCAGCAGCTTCTCGCGGGGCCGGTGGTCCTTCCTGCCGGGCTCCCGGGAGGACGGCAGCTTCTCATTCCCACTGCTGGCCTTGGCCGAGTCGCCCTTCTCCTTCTCCTGGCTCTCCTTGAACTTCTCTTTTGGCTTGGCCTCCCCGAGTCTCAGGGTCTCCTCCTTGGGCTTGTCTTTGAAGTTAGAGTTTGGGGGGTTCTCCTTATGCCTCAAGAAGCCGTCCGGATGCCTCTCTCGGTGCTTCTCTTTCTCGTCCCTCCACTTCTCCCTGTGCCTCTCCCGCTTCTTCTTCTCCTTCAGGAGGCTGACGGCACTGGACCCATAAGGCTTGAGCTCTTTTTCTATTTTCTTGGAAGGTTCTCTTTCAGCGTCGCTTTTTTCTTTCTTTTCTGTAGAGAACAAGTCCATGGTTTTGTCTAATTCGTCTTCTATGTCGGCTTTCGTGCTGTAAGAGATGCCATAAGGGTCCCCGTCCAGGAAGTCCTTCTCATACTGGCTGGAGTCCTTCCTACCGCCTACCTCCTTGTAGTCCTCGCTGCGGTCCTTCCTCTCGGCCTTTTCTCTCCTGCCCCTCTCTCGGTCGTGGCTCTTCTTCGACGAGGTTGAGGAGTGCCTGTGTCTGTCCTTCACCTTCTCCTGTGGGCAGGAGCCCTCCCTGGCCTTCTCCTCGGGGGGCTCTGTGAAGGACACCTCCAGCAGGGCGGCTGGCCCAGGGTCCTGCCCTCGGTCGGTGAAGCTGTCGGACGAGATCTCGCTGATTTTATCATTGGAGTCTTCTCTGTACTCGTGGAGAGCGGCTTCTTCCAACTTCTCCAGTAAGCTTTTTTCCACCTCACTGCTTTTTGAAGACTTCCTCTCTTTGGAATGCTCCTTGTCAGACTTCTCTCTGTGCCGGCTCTTGGCTTTGTCGTCCAGCGAGTGCTTCTTTTCAGCCTTCTCCGGGAGTTTTTGTTTGTTTTTCTTTTCTTGAGTCGAGTCCACTGAAGTCCTGTCTTTCCTGTCCTTGTACTTTTCTGTGGACTCTCTATCCTTCTTCTCTTTGTGCTTTTCAAAGATTTTTTCTTTTCTGTCCTTTCCCCCTTCGGTGGCCCCTTTGTCCTTTTTCTTGTCCTTGGCGTCTTTATCTTTCTGCTTCTCGGAGGAGTACTTGCGGTGCCTGTCGGAGGAGTGGGGCTCCTTCCCCTCCTCCCCGGCCTCAGCGAGGGCGAGCCCGCCGCCTGCACACTCATCTCTGTCATCTTCACTCTCATCTGTGAATATGTCTGCGATATACCAGCTTTTCTCCTTGCCCTTTTTGTCATCTTTCTTTTCAGAGAAGTCTTCTGAGAGAATCCCAGGGTACATTTTTTCCTTTTTGTCTTTAACTTGATCAAGAGAAGTTTTCCTTTCTCTGTCTTTGCTATGCATGTCTTTATGTTTCTCCTTAGTTTCTTTTTTCTCCTTGAAACATTTCTCCAATTCCTTGTCCTTCTGACTCTTTTCGAGGGTAGACTTTTCGTTCTTGTCTTTGTCACCACACTTGTCTTTGTACTTCTCCGACTTGAGCTTCTCTTTCTTCTCCTTGTCAAGGCTGTCCTTCTTGTCTTTTTCCTTCACCGAGTGGTGCCTTTCCCAGGACTCGAGAGTCTTCACAAAGTCAGAGTCAGACTTCTCCTTGAAAAAACCGTCACAGCTCAGCTCCTTGAGCTCCTCTCGGTAGGCCTCCTCGGGCTTGGCTCTGGCCTCCTTCCTCTCCTTGGTGCTCTCGAAGGAGTCCTTTCTGTCCCGGCAGGTGTCGCTCAGGTCCTTGTCTTTCCGCTCTTTGGCTCCGTCTGCAGACTCTCTCCTCTTCTTGTCCTTCTCTGACAGATAGGTGGGGAGGCTTTTATGCTTTTCAGTCTGGTCTTTTCTCTTTTCGGCACTTTTATCCAGATAGTCCCGATCTTTCTTTCTGAAGAAAGCATCTCTGTCGCTGCGTCTCTCGCTGTGGTCTCTCTTCTCCCTGCTCTTGCTGTCCCGCCTCTTTTCCTTCGAGTCCTCTCTCACCGTCTCCAGGATAAGCTTGGCCACAGAGTCAGTCTTCATCTCCCGGTAGTCGGGCACTGGAGAGTCCCAGCTGTCCTCCCCTTTGAAGTCAAAGGACGAGTCAGACAGGTCAGAAAACCAGCGTTCCTGCTGGTCATCAGAGAGGCTGAACTTGGTGTCTTCATCCTCCAGGAACTGACTTTTGTTACAATACTCGTCAAAAGCAGACTCTTCCCTGTGGACTTTGTCTTTTCTGAGTCTGTCCTCTTTGAAAGTCTTCTCCTTCTCTTTTGACACCCTGTCCTCTTTTAAATCACTCCTCTTCTCTAGTTTTGAGGGCCTGTCTTTGGACTTTTTCTTCCTCTCCTCTTTGTACGGTCTCAGCTTCTCCTCCTTCGGAGACTTCTCCTTCATCAGCTTCTCCTTTTCTGGCTTGTTGGCGCGGTCTTTCTCTTCCCGGGAACACTTAGTGACGTCTTTACTCAGGTCTTTGATTCTTTTGAGGGATTTCTCATCTTTGGAGACCTTTATGAGATCATCTTTAAATAGCCACTCTTTTTCTTCCGACCTCATTTTGCTAAGTTTCTCTTCTTTCCTGAAGTGGTCTCGGTCATGCTTCAATGCCTTTAGCTTGTTTTCGGCAGGAAGATCATTGTCAAGAAGGATGGCCTTGTCAGGCTTCTGCTTGGAGTCCTCGTACTCATAAGTGAAACTTTTCAGCTTGAGTTCCTGGCTGACTGAACACTGGCCCTTCTCCTTGTTTTTGTGTTTGTGTTTTGTTTTGTGTTTTTTGACGACCTTCCCCTCCTTGTCCAGCTTTGGGATGGCGCCATCCACGCTGGCATGGAATGCACCCTTCTTCTCGGCGAGCACGCCCTGCAGGCTCCCCTTCCTGTGCTCCCGCTTTTTCCTGACTGGCTTCAGGGACTCCACGCTGGAGGCCTCAGAGGAGCAGTCAGACTCGCTGGTTAGCCGCGTCCTCGTCGAGTCAGACAGAGAGCTGACTTCGGACCACGCGGGAGAGGCAATAGTTTTCCAATTGTCTGTCCTCCAGTGCTGGGAGTGCTGGTCCGTGTGGTTGGGGTTATGCTTCTGGGAGGCAGTACTGCCGTGGGAAGATGTGGAGGAGGCAGAGAGCGAGCTGAACAGGGAGGGGTCCTTCAGCACGAGCGGGGACCCCTTGGCACAGCCGGAACTGCCCACAGAGCCGTCATCCTCGTCACTGCCCAAGGGCTCGCTCTCGGACTCGGAAGAGCAGAACTTATCGTTCCGTTTTCCAAACCTCACTTCTTTGCCTTTTGTTTCTTTCTTTCGCTTCTTTTTCACCTTACTTTTTTCTTTCTGCTGCTTGGAGCCAGAGGATTCCCGTGTTTTACTAGTGGGCAGCAGGCTGTGTGCCGACAGTCTCAGCTTTTCTCCTGTCCCCATGGTGACACTCACCTCCTCTTCATCCGACGTGTCCGACAAGATGCGGTGCGCAGCTTTCTTTGGTGCCATCGTGTTGTTTTTAGTGTAACTTTTCACCTCCATTTTGGGTATAGAAATGAAACTGTTTGACTTAGTCTCTTTCCTGTAATCCTTTTTTAACAAGTGCTTATCGTCCACGGGAGGGACCCTGTCTTGCTCATCGTCCTCATCAAACTCGTACTCGTCCTTGACGGGGGTCACAGTTTTCTGGGGCTCTGGGTTCTTGGCCTTGTGCTTTAGGCCCTTTTCAAATTCAGAGTCTGTGTTATTGCCATCCACGGAACTGGACGGGGCGAACGATGGGGCGTCTTCTTCCTCCGAGCTCTCTGCTGGAGAGAGGGGACAGCGGTCAGAATGACACTCTTGCACACAGAGGCCCTATGGAAACTGCACCATGGGCAGGCCCTCCAGGAGACAGCTGGGACAAACACTGACCCTGATTTAAGCCTGAAGCCAGCTGTTGGCAGAAGGAAGCCAGAGAGCTTTACTCAGAGACAGACTGAGACAGGATAGGCAGCCAGGGACCAATTCCCTGGGCTGAGTGCTCCCGCAGCCCGGAGAGTCCAGGGCAGACCGGGAGGCCCCGCGTGACACAGCAGGCTGCGCGTGTCGAGGGTCGTGCAGCAGAGGGCCTGCTCGCCAGCCCCGCCCAGCGCCTCACCGGTGGAGCTTTCTTCACTGGATGTGTACGTGCTCTTGCCCAGTAGGAGGTTCACCATGGTCGGTGAGCTGGCCACCTTCAGCGGCGTCTCGCCCTTCCTGTTGCTCTGCTGGGGGTTCCCGCCATACCGCAGCAGCAACTTCACCACCTGCACAACACGGACAGCTCGTTAGGGGCTTCTGGGAAAGTTCACTGCCACCCACAGTGCTCACCGCTGGCCCTCCCGGCCCCTCCCAGTTTGTCCCCAGCATACTCTTGGCCTTTGTTCCCTCCTTCCTCACAGCAGAGCTGCCCAGGCACGGCACAGGGCAGGGTCTTCTCACACGCGCCAGCCTGCAGCCAGTGCTAGTGTGCCAGGTGAGGGAACAGCAGGCTCTGGCAGTTTGGGGGGGTGGAACCAAGGAGACAACAAATACGGGGCGTCCCACGCAGGTGTACTTTTGTCAGACAAGGTGACATCTCAGTGGTTCTACTCAGCTGTTCAGCTGGTGACCTCGGCACCGTGGGCTCAGCCTCACGTAAGCCCGTGATCTGGCCCTGAAATGATCTTGGCTCCTCGCTCACAGCCTTGTCTAGGAGATTACATGCCACACCCACCGCAGGACTGGAGCTGCCCGTGGGTGATCGACGAGCACAAACTCACTGGCTGAACAACACGTACTTGCTCAGAGCTGGAGGTCAAAGGTCCTGAGTGATTTGTGGGCAGGGGTCACGTTCCTTCACGGAGGCCATGGGGCAGGTCCGTTTCCTTTGGGTCCCTGTGCTGTAAGGAGCCAGTTCCCCATCTCTGCTGGCTGTCAGCTGAGGGCCATTGCAGCTTCTAGAGGCCTGCACAAGTGTGCTTGGCAGGCAGGTGCTCTGACTGAGCTTGTGACTATGCAGGGCCCCCCACCTCTGTCCTCGACACAGCTGCACCTTTGCTACGCAAGGCCACATGTTCACAGGTCCAAGACGATGGCAGTGGCTGTCGCTGGGGCTATGATGGGCTGACTATGTTGTGTCTCCACAGTCCTTGGCATTTCCAGAACAGAAACTGAACAGTGCATGAGAGTATGGATTCCAGTAATGACCCCTCCCACACATACCCCCAGGGACCAGCGCTGTCACACACTAGCTCATAAGCAGTCTGACTCCCAATGCCTACATGCTGCTCCCCCAAACCCCGGTTCCCCTTCACTGCATGAAAACGTTTTAGAATGCAGCTCTGAAGGGCCCTGAGGAACCACAGTGCCGCCATGTGGCCTGGAAACCAACAGTCACTCCTTGGCAGTGAATCAGCTAGCACTGTACAGATCGCCCGTTTTATCAGTTGGTTTGAATCAGGATCCCAAGGGACTTAGGCCGCACCCGGTCTCAAGTCTCCAACTCGGAGTCCACCTCTCACTTCCTCCCTAGCCGCCCCTCAGCATCTGGCCTCTGGGCCAGTGGTGCCGGCCCCTGGTAGGTTCCAGGCGATAGACTCGGGCTGCGGTGGGCCTCATTGTAAAGGCAGCAGACAGTACATGGCAAGTGACTAGTTGTTGCCATCTCCACGGTGGCCTCGGTGAGGTCAGGAAAGAGTGGCATTTGCCATGCTGCCCTCTTGTCCATCCAGCAGCACAAGAGGAACTGGGTAAACCACCCTCTGGGGCCCCTCTTGGCATGAGAACAGGAGCTCCGAGAGACTCTAAGGAAGGCGTGCTGCTACGGGGACCCCACCTTGTAGTGCCCGTTGTTGGCAGCATCGTGTAGTGGCGTGTCGTCATCCAGGCCCTTGGTGTTCACCTCGGCACCTGCTGCGAGCAGCTGCTTGGCGACATCGTAGTAGCCACGGTTACAGGCCTCGTGCAGGGCTGTCCAGCCTGGAAACAGACACTCATGATACACGCTGACAGTGCAAGCACGGCTGCACGTGACAAGCAGCAGCTCTGCTCGGTGTCACCTGCACTCCAATGCCAACACTCTCAGGAGCTGAGCCAGCCCGGAGCCCTGGTGGACGACGACCTGGGGCAGAGCTGGCTGTTGGGGTGGCCCTGCCGCAAGGCACCTCTCTGCATGAGGCTCACTGACTGGGGCTATAGGCTCCTTGCAGGGGTGCCTGCCCAGGGGCTGAGCCCATGGATTCATACCCAAAGTGTAGACCCCGCCCGTGGGGAACAGTGCTCACCATGGGGACAAATGTCCTTGCCCTGGGAAGCCCCTGACCTCAGGAAAAGCACTCATGAACAAAGAGCCCACTGGGGTCAAAGACCAGAGGGCAGCGCCAGAGGGACACGGCCCACAGACGGCTTCCCCTCGCATGATCTTCCTCGCTGCAGACAGACCTCGAATCTAGGAAGTGGGCAGAAAGGCCTGCACCAATCAGGGGGCCCTGAGAGGCAAACTGACCGGGACATCTCAGCTGAAAGCTACATGGGCGTCTAGATGAGGGCCCTCTTGTGAGGGAAGTGTGTGTGGTATGTGCCAATGGGGTGTGGGGAGGGATGGGACCAAAACACCCTTGCTTGTGGAGTGACCACCTTCAGCATGGTGGCGTCTATGTGCCCCAGAAGCTGAGAGAACCACTTCTTCTTGTGTGGAATGGGGTTTTAGGTAGCATAGCAGAGTTAACATTTTAAGGTGTCCCAGCCGTCTTGAACATACATGACGGGGGGGAAAAAAGATCTTATTTTGAAACACTTCCCAAGAAACACGAATTCCTCCTTTTCAGGACAGTCACTTAATGAGTGCAAGCAGGCGAAGTGCCCCAAGCGTCGCCCACCCGAAGCCTGGGAGCAAGCTGCCTCAGTCGGCCTATGCACCCTGCCTTGCGGCTGCTGGGCACCAAGACCCCGAGAGGCAGCCAAAGAGGCCGTGCAGTTGAGGAGACCAGCTTCCCATCGCTTCCAAAAACCAAACGGGAAGCTCGCTGGCTGCCCTCCCTCCACTCTGTGCCTGCCTCAGTTTCCCGTCGAAGTGACGGTACCTGCGAAGTCCTTGACGTTGACATCCGCACCCTCGCTGATGAGCTCCTTGATGCGCCGGGCGTCTCCCCGGATGGCGGCTCGGTGCAGCCGCGTCTCCCCGCGCTCATTCCTCTTGTTCACTTTGTCTTTGGTTTTGGAGGCAGAGTTAGGCGTCCCCTTCTGACACACTGCAGACTGGGCGGGGTGCTTTGGTGTTGTATCTACTGCAGGCCAAAGGGGACAGGACAGGGCAGAGCGTCACTGCAGGGCAGTTGGGGGCAGCACAAAGTACCTGGCAGACCTGGACGCAGCATGTTCCTGAGGCCATCCTCAGGCCCGGCGCCCCCATAGGCTGTGGGGAGCCTGGCTCACCTGGGCTATTTGCAGACTCCTCAGCGGTCATCTGCATGAGGAGGGCCACCTGCTGGCGCTCGGAGAGGGGGTAGCCAGCTCGAATCCCAGACAGCCCCATGCCGAACAGCAGACCGGCCTTGCGTGCGGCAGGCTCCTTCTTGATCCTCTTCCGCTCAGGGCCTTGCTTGTCTGTGAGGCAGGTGAGAGGAGAGAGGAGTTCATGCAGGCTCACTCTCCTACAAGTCCCAGCTTCAAGTTAAGGATACAGTAGGAGCAGTACTTCACTCACCTGACGCTTACAGGGTGAGAGGGAGACAAAACCAGGGAGAGCACCTGCTCCCATCACCTCCTCTCTGAGCAGTAACTGTGAGACAGTTTACTCTGTTACCAGCCAACACGTCCTGCTAAAAGTCTTGGCCTCCACCAACCATTCACCCGCTCCAGGAATCTCTCCTGAGCCCCCAAACAGAAGCCAATGGGGGCAGCAGTGGGCTGGCACGGACAACCAGTCCCTATCGACTAGACAGATGTGTGTAGAATGACACCTGCACCCCCGTCCTCCCCAGGGAGTGTTTTAAAGGACATAAACCACGGCCCACGCGTCGGTACCATACCTTGCGTCTTGCTTCTAGGAGCCTCCATTTCATGCCATGGTGCTTGGAGGGGCGTACCAGCCTGGTAGTGCCGCAACATGGACTGAACTGGAGGCATCTAAAAGCATCAACACAGAGCGCTAACGAGATGCGGAGTGTAGCCCGCTGTTTCCCAGTGGGCACGCCCTCCGCTCTGAACCGTGACAGCACACAACGCCCAGCAGGGTCCCTGCCGAGCACACGAACACACTGGGCCGCCCTCTGAACAGACGGTGTGTCAGGCAGAGAAGACACCCCAGATCTCCATCCTGCACTGGGTATGTCTGGGGCGCCTACTGATGGAAACCAGGGGCTGGAGCCCTACACCCCCACCCACGGCCCCCACAGAGAGGGGCCTTGAATCATCGGTGCTGCCACTCTACCAGGCCACAAGGCTGAGCATCCAGGTGTCACTCAGGGTTACCAATGGGATCTTGAGCTCCTTAAAGTGCAGAAACGTTCTTCTGTGTCCTTGAAGCTCCCGGCTCTCCCATCCCAGTGCCACACAGCTTACAAATGCCTACTAATTAATACCCCAAAGCCTGACCATCCCATAGGCTTGTGACGGTCCTCTCCCGAGGCTCAGCGGCTGGAGTATACAAAGCCCGAAGCTCTGGCCACAGTTCCAGAGTGGTTCCAAGAGCCGGCAGCTCAGAGAACAAGCTGTGGGGAGGCCCCCGAGGCTCAGCACCCCACACCCTGTACCAGACGACGTCAGCTGAGCCATGACACGCTGCCCGGTGTGATTAGGACAGCCACAGATGGCTGTCAGAGTCCAGCTGGTCCACAATCCAGCTCCTGTCACCTCACTATTCTGCACAATCCCAGGACTCGCCTAGGACAAGCTGTTCTTCCACGGGTGACAGGTGGGTACCAACAGGCTCTATCAGGCCACCCTCTTGGCCTCTCAGGGTGCATGCGTGGCTGTCATACCAGGCAGCTGTCCCCAGGCTCCCAGCAGCACCGCATCTCAGTAGGGCCCAGGCATCTCTGCCTTCCTGCAGTTGAAAAGCACACCAACATACATACAGTAGAAACACTCCTGCCTTTTAAATTTCACTTTGAGACTTACAAATTTCACTTTGAAACTTACATTTAAGACAGACCTAAACCACTGCTACCATTGGCCGCCAGGAATCATACCAGTCACTGTGGCCCCCCAGGTGCTGGCTGAGGGTGGAGAACTCCCGTCTAGTTACAGCAAAGTCAATGTCTGCGTCTGTTCCTGAGAGGGGCTCCAGCCCTCCCAGGGCGGGGGCACTGCCCTGGCTCTGGACGATTCTGGAGAGATCTGCAGCATCTCGTTGCATGTGCTTGACCGTACCAGTTTCCAAAAACAAATGAAAACTGTTCTCTGAAGGTCAGTTCCAAATAAGCCCTCACTGAGACCAAACCCACCCTCCGTTCTCTGCTGAGGCACACGCCAGCCTGTGGTGCATCCTCTGGAGCAAGTATGTGGCCACCCTGCCGTGTGAGGTCGAAGCACACACCCAGCGATGGCACCAGCAGCGACCTCAGTCACATCACCTGTCTGCAGAGCACATCACAGCTAGCCTGTTCTGAATGAGGACTGTGAAACAGGAATGAGCAAGGAGCTATGTGACTGTCCGACTGACTAACAGAGTAACAAGTGTCAAGAACACGAAAATGCCACCAGGGAGAATAGAGCCCCCCAAAATGAGTGTATGGGCCTGGCTCTGAAAGTGTCACAGACTGAGGAGCCACATGGGGTCTGAGGGTAGCAGAGTCAAGCCCTCTGGTAGTGCTAGAGTAGAATCCTGCAGAATCGGATGTTAAAAACTGCTAACCAAAAGGTTGATGGTTCAAACTACCAGCCGCTCTATGGGAGAGAGATGAGACGCCCCGCTTCTGTGAAGATTTATAGCCTTACAAGACAGAGTGACGCCTACGGTAAAACCATGGACTTGCGTTGACAACGTGTCAGGGTAGGCGCAGCAGGGGAAAGAGGGATGTACTGTGTTAGGGGCATCGGGTTTTTACCAAGGGCGACACAAAAACAACCTAGAAATGATGGTGATGGATGTACAACAGATAGGATGGCAAATGTCTGTTATTACGTGTTTTGCCACGGTAAAAATAAAAAACAAGCAAACAAAAAGATTTATAGCCTTGATATACCAAAAGTGAGTAACCAGCACAATACTACTGAGGAAAAGGAAGACACAGAGAGGTGCGCAAGAGGTAAGACCACAAAGTAAACATTTTCACACACAGGTGGATACGTAAGTAGACAAGCAAGATGATCAGGTACCTGTGGGGAGGCAGAAGGGATACCTGTGACCATATGTAAGTTCCGCAGACAATATTTCTACATACCTATCTGTACATGCTATAAACAAAACACAACACACTGTTGTCAAGTTGGATCCGACTCACAGCGATCACTCCTTGGGTTTCCGAGGCAGTATCTCTATAGAAACAGATTGCCCAACCTTCCTTCCGAGGAGTGGCCTGGTGGGTTTGAACCGCCAACATTCTGATTAGCAGTCAGATGCCTTAGGCACTGCGCCACCAGAGCTATAAGAACGGCCATATATGTGATAGAGCTAATAGGGGGCAAAGTTGTAACTTCCTAGCTGCAGCCAGATCCCTTCAGGTCACTAGGACAGTGGGCTTGATGTCACTAGGAACATCTAGCTCAACTGGCATAGCATACTACACAAAAACACTGTTCTACATCCTACTTTGGTGACTAGCAACTGGGGTCGTAAAAGCTTGCAAGTAGCCATCTAAGAGGCAACGATTGGTCTCTCCTTGTCTGGAGCTAAAAAGAGCAAAGAAAATCAGACACATAGAACCAACTAGTTCAAGGGACTACTGGACCATGGAGAACCTCAAGCTATATGACCCTGAGACCAGAAGAATTAGATTGTACCTGGCTACCACTGCCAACCACTTGGAAATGGATCAAAACAGGAGATCCTAGATAGAGTGGGAGAAAAATGTGGCACAAAACTCAAAATCGTGAAAAAGACTAGGCTTACTGGTCTGATAGAAACTGGTGAAACCCCCAAGGCTATGATCCTTAGACCCTTCAGGTCTGGAACTCACTCCCCTGGCTTAACTTCCAGCCAAACAATAGGCCTACAAAGTGAACAATGATACCAGGTAGGTACTCTCCTTGTAACAATCAACTATGGGAGATCAGAGGGCAGTGTTTGTACTGAGATAGCTCAGAGGGCAGGACTGTATAGGAGAGGACACAGGGAAAGGTAACCACAGGAAGGAAGTGGGAAAACAGCGGTTTCAATGTCATGAAACAAAATGTGTATGGGACTGCTGAATGGAAAACAAAATGGCTCTGTAAAATTTCACCCAAATCACACATACACAAAAGTACAGCCAGAGTAGTTCTACTCTGTCCTAGATGGTAGCTAGGGTCAGAAATCGACTCGATGGCAGTGGGTCTTGTTGTCGTCGTTGGCTAAGCAGAACCACATACATCACTGAATGCTGACTCTGTGGTACCCCCGACTCTACTCCTGAACTGCTCGAGCTGCATGGCCAAGACCATTCAATCAGGAAAGATCAGTCTCTTCAAGAAAATGGTGCTGGGACAACTGAGTCTCCACATGCAGAAGAATGGGTGCACGACCCCTACCTCACACTGCAAGTGACAATCAGGCACCTAAAGGCAGGAACTAAATAGAGCTAGCTCCTCTGGGTAAATACTCACAACCTTGGATTTGGCAATTGACTCTTAGATGATACCAAAAGCATGAAGCAACAAAACAGGTGAACTGGACTTCACTGAGTCGAAAAATCTTGTAGCTGTGGGGGTCACTGTGAGTTGGACCTGATTCCAGGGCAACAGACTCTGGTTTGGACTCAGTCGGGAAAGTGAAAAGCCAGGCCACAGAACTGGGGAAAATACCTGCAATCACATCTCTGATGTTGTTGTTAGGTGTGGCCCGGTGAGTTCTGACTCACGGCGGCCCCATGTACAACAGAATGAGACCCTGCCCAGTTCTGCGCTGGCCTCACCATCGTTGCCACACCTGAGCCACTGTGTCAAGCCATCTCCTTGAGGGCCTTCCCGCTTTTTTGCTGACCCTCCACTTAACCAAGCATAATACCCTTCTCCAGGAACTGGTCCCTTCTGACAACATGATCAAAGTACAAGAAGGATCTAGAATCCAGAATATATTAAAGAGCTTTTACAACATAATAGAAAATCACAATCAATTTTAAAAACAGGATTCAAATAGACGTTTCTCCAAAGAAGATACACAAATGGCCATAAGCCACACAAAATGATGTTTGATATCATTAGTCATTAACTGGTTGCTGCCAAGCTGATCCCACTCATGGTGATGAAGGGATCACAAATCAAAACCCGAGTGAGCGCCTCCTTCACACACAGTAGGACAGCTGGGATCTCAACGAGAAAACATGCTGTCTTGAGGTAGAGACATCGAACCCCTCGTGTATTGTTGGCGAGCGTAAAATGGTGCGGCTCTGTGGAAAACAGCCTGGTGGCGCACTGTGCTCTAAACCCCCTCCCCTCACCTGGGGGCCAAAGCTGGGCCTGGGGAC